ATGAATAAAAATAAAACAAGAAACAAAACTGGAAGTGTAACACTTACAAGTGGCGGGGCACACAACACTTACAAGTGGCGGGGCACACACAATATATTCACTTATTCACTTTTTTAGTGTATTCTTACAACAAAATCTTGCTGTGACTGATACGACAAAAATTGCTGGCAAAAATAATGGTACACAAGTCTGCGGAAAGATCAGAGAATGAGACACTGCTGGTGTACGAATAAAAGGCACACATAGAAATAAATGGATAATTTGGTATACGACAAATACTGGAGAATACAATGCCGAAAGAATACAAGATAAATAAAAAAAAAATTAATTACTTCACACAGAGTGACTGACTGGTACACTACACAATAATACTTATTACAGACATAGAGTAGCAAAAAAAAAAAAAAAGATAAAAATTATGAGATGAGCGATAACACTGAAAAATATTGCAAAAATAATGAGTCAAAGAAACACTGAGTCTACACTGAAAACACAATGTTTAGAGTACACAAGAAATTCACTGTAAATGTCTCACACACGCAAATGTCTTTAAATGCAAGAAAAATGTCTATAAACAGAAAATTATCACTGGAGTCTGGAGTAGTAGACGGGATGACTAGTGATGAGGGGAAGGTTGTCCTGCGGGTGATTACGCCTCCTACACTCACACTGTTTTCGGAAGAAATGCGCTTTCTCGGTGAACTCACATAACTGGCTTTATCGTTGGCGCTCAGCTACAATCTCTTGACCAATTATGTGAGCCAAAACAGTACTAGGACCCGGTACAAGGGTGCAAACAGCCACAGGTAGGTGAGTGAAGAGTGTGTGGCGGGTGGGTGAAGGGAGCGTACACTCGCTGTTGCTCACTGGCACACACTCCGCTCACTACCCACGAAGGTGGCTTAACTAAGCCACTTTATGCCACAGGGATGGTGAAGACCACTCTTAACCCTTAAACTGTCCAAACATAGATCTACATTCACTCGCATAGCGCTCCAAACATAGATCTACGTTTTTTTACATTCTTTTTGAGAAAATCAAGGTCAGAGCACTACGCTCACAAACGTAGATCTATGTTTGGACAGTTTAAGGGTTAAATTAACCATCTAACATCGTTACAAAGTGGGAGGAGCTATAGGATAGAGGGAGAGGCCAGCACAAGGAGCATTCAGTATCTGGTGAGTCATCGTGGGCGTCGGATGCTATCTGTGGCAATAATAAAATGTGTAATTACACTAATATTAGTAGTAAAGGTTGTTTATCTATCACATTTATCCAAACTGATATCAGAAACACAATAAATGCCTAGAACTGTAATAAGATGCCGAAATGAATAGTATATGCCATTTATGTGAGTGGGGTAAGATCATAAGATAGATGCATTCTTCGTTTGTACCTCTGGTCTATAACGAAAGAAGATGGTGTTTACATCAGGGCAAACACTCCTACTCACTCTTATCATAAGAAAAAATGCAAAAATAGCGCAATTTTTCCTGATTTTTTTTTTCTGAGCTATATGCTCTGCTCTCTTAAGAAAAGATTAAACTCATTGAACAAGGTATGGCAATGGTAATAATAATTTATAATAATAATAAATAATCGCTCTGTAGCACTTTAAATATCATACGTATTTTGTATAGGTTTGGTAGCTGATATTTAAAGCACTCCAGAGCAGTTATTATTAATTATAGACATCTGTATTGATTATTACCATCGACATACCTTGTTCACTGAGTTTAATCATTTCTTAAGCTGCCATGATACACTGAGAATGTTAACACACAGACGAACACACCAGCTAACCCCTTTACTGTGAACTTCTTTTGTACTTCTTCCATTTTCCTCTTGTTTTTCCTCTTCCATGTGCTGCTGCACTTCTAACTCTGTCTTGTACTATGGTGTGCACAATAAAGTACAAATTTGTACAAATATGTAGTCTTGGAGACTGTGAAAACTAATGTACAGAGTGGCTGTAGGAAGGAGATTGAGATGCTTGACACTGAGACACTGCACTGCCAGTTCATGACCCAAGTTCTCGTATAGTATACAATAACGACTCGTCAGAGAGCCTGTCGTAACTCTGAGTTGTTAGTAAATGAATATGTCGGTAAGTGAGGAGTGGCTGTATATGATGATTACCTTCCATGTGGCTGAGTTTATTAAAAAGGTTATTACAGCATTAATATTCATCAGTTCGTTCTGTTCATTCATCATTTAAACTTTAATCACAGTTTCCATGGTAGAGGTTGATGGATGAGTTTGGTAAGGTGTATAAAAGAAGAAAATTAAAAGTGAAAATGAGGATAAAAATATTAGGTGATGAAAGATTGGATATCAGATTGGAGGGAGAAAGTATGGAGGAGGTGAATGTATTCAGATATTTAGGAGTGGACATGTCAGCAGATGGGTCCACGAAAGATGAGGTGAATCATAGAATTGATGAGGGGAAAAATGTGAGTGGTGCACTTAGGAACCTATGGAGACAAAGAACTTTGTTCATGGAAGCAAAGAGGGGAATGTATGAGAGTATAGTTCTACAAACACTCTTGTATGGATGTGAAACATGAGTGGTGAATGTTGCAACAAGGATAAGGCTGGAGGCAGTGGAGATATCATGTCTGAGGGCAATGTGTGGTGTGAGTATAATGCTGAGAATTTATAGTTTGGAAATTAGGAGGAGGTGCAGGATTACCAAAACTGTTGTCCAGAGGGCTAAGGAGGGGTTGAGGTGGTTCGGACATGTAGAGAGGGCGGAACAAAATAGAATGACTTTGAGAGTGTATAAATCTGTAGTGGAGGGAAGGCAGGGTAGGAGTCGGCCTAGGAAAGGTTGGGGGGAGGGGATAAAGATGGTTTTGCATATGTGTGAGCATGTTAGATAGGAGCGAATGTAAACAAATGGTTTTTAGGACTTGACATGCTGTTGGAGTGTGAGCAAGGTAGCATTTATGAAGGGATTCAGGAAAACCAGCAGGCCGGATTTGAGTCCTGGAGATGGGAAGTACAGTGTCTGCTCTCTGAAGGAGGGGTGTTAATGTTGTGGTTTTATAGCTGCAACATTAACACAGTGATCGAGTGAATAATGATGAAAGTTTTTCTTTTTCGCGCCACCCTGCCTTGGTGGGAGACAGCCAGTGTGTTAATAATAATAATAATAAAAGACTTACATTGTGAGTAGTTTCAGCCATTCCTCAAAAACAGTCCATCAGCAGTGTGTACTGAAATTGTTTAATATACATAGAGAACTTGCTGCACTTCAGGTTCCCATGTTGCAAAGTGACACTTGGAATAAATACATTGCCTAGCTTGATGCCTTTATAGCACTCATACATAGGGAGTCCTAGGTAGTAGGTTGGTAGACAGCAACCGCCCAGGGAGGTACTACCGTCCTGCTAAGTGAGTGTAAACAAAAGCCTGTAATTGTTTTACATGATGGTAGGATTGCTGGTGTCCATTTTTGTCTCATAAACATGCAAGGTTTCATGTACGTCTTGCTACTTCTACTTACACTTAGGTCACACTACACATACATGTACAAGCATATATATATATACACACCCCTCTGGGTTTTCTTCTATTTTCTTACTAGTTCTTGTTCGTTTATTTCCTCTTACCTCCATAGGGAAGTGGAACAGAATTCTTCCTCCGTAAGCCATGCATGTTGTAAGAGGCGACTAAAATGCTGGGAGCAAGGGGCTACTACCCCTTCTCCTGTATATATTACTAAATGTAAAAGGAGAAACTTTAGTTTTTCTTTTTAGGCCACCCTGCCTCGGTGGGATACGGCCGGTTTGTTGAAAAAAAAAAAAACATAGGGAGTAAGGTCACCAAGAGAAAAAAAACTAGCAATGAAGATGAACAGAGTGAGGAACCAGATAAAAATACTGATCATAAGATCGAAATTCAAAGGTACATTAAGAAAAATATTTCTTATAGTATTTCAGATAGTTTGTTAATCGAGTTTATTACAAGATAGGACAAAATAATTTGACTCCATAATTTAGGCACACAGTATTTGTTTAGCTTAGTCTTGAGTTCAGTAAGAAAGTTGCAGTTTTTCAGTTAGTCATTCCACATCTATGGCTCTTTAATTTGCATAGAGTTTCTGTAGATGCTCAATCAGAAGGACATAGTATTACCTGAGAGCTTCCTTTTCCTGAGTTATAATTGGTTTGAGGGGAGTTGCTGAGACAGATTCCCAACCACAGATCCAGTAAGTAAGAGTAAATGAGGGAAACATAGTGTCACTGGTGTGAGGTGCAGAACGTAAGTCATCTCCCTTATGAAGTTCCTCTATATAATGCAGTTTATATAAATGTGATTGAAAAGGTATATCCATAAGTGAATATTATTTGGAAAGGCCCTCATAGTATATACTATTTCATTTTTTGATGTGCTTTTTCAGTTACATTTACAAAAATCACACTATAAAATAGCTTTATAAGAGAGCTAACTAGCGAATTTTGCCGAGTATTTATACCATTTCAGCAACTTGATGTGTGTTGGATGTGGGCATTAAATTTTGGCTTGCTATTCACTATTAGCCCTTGGAATTCTCCCTCTTCTTTTTGAGCTCTTTGAGTATCATTAATTCTAATATCTAATTGTAGACATGGCTTATTCCCAAATGATATATAGAATGCTTCTTCAGTATTGAGGATGAATTTGTTGGTAATCATCCATTCATGGGCCTTTTAAGGTTCATCATTCATTGTGATATTGATTGGCAAGAATTTTGTAATTGACAGTATCAGAGGCCTAACATAGATCGGTTCCTTCAAGTGCTGAATAAACTGTGTTAATCTTTCTTACTATTGCATCATTTGTGCTTTTGTTTTCTAAGGTCTGTACCCAAGTTGACAAGGAGTCAGCATGGGCTGTATTTGTCAGGTTATACCTGGAGGGTGTTTCAGGGGTCAACACCCCCATGGCCTGGTCCATGACCATGTATTTCTACAGTACATGGCTTAATATGTACTTTGTTTTAATTTTTAAACCAGGTATTCAGTCCAGTGCCAGCAACTGATGGTAGTGGCACCCCTACAGAGTTTACTCCACCACCGACCTCTACTATACCTAACAGAGTAGACAGTTGGGATCCAAATGTCCAAGGTATGTAAACAAAATAATATAACACTGTGTTGTATCTTGTGTCTTGCTAGATTTGTTGAATACAGCAATATGAGGTTTGTATTACATTTCTCATTGCAATAGAACCAAAGTAATTTATACCCTGCCTTGGTGGAAAATGGCTGATGAGATAAAAAAAAAATCCATGAACTCGTATGCAGTACAGGAAATTGGAAATGTTGTACATAGACAGAATAGTAATGAACTTACCTCCAAATCTGTTTTACAAGTTCTAACAGAGTATTGTTAGTTCCTTCATCTCTGACACTATTCAGGCAGGCCACGCATATGTAGCAGATTAGGTTCTGGGTTACTGCTGTAAGGTGAAACATAGTCTTTTCTCACTCTTAAATGCATATAAAAGCCTGATAACATGTTTACACTATCATATATTAACCCTTTGACTGTTTTCGACGTGGTAAATACGTCTTACGAGCCAATGTTTCTGACGTATATATACTCGATAATTCTAGCGGCTTCAAATCAAGCAGGAGAAAGCTGGTAGGCCCACAGGTGAGAGAATGGGTCTGTGTGGTCAGTGTGCACCACATAAAAAAAATCCTGCAGCACACATTGCGTAATGAGAAAAAAAAAACGATCGTTTTTTTGGAATAAAACGCCGACTTTTGAGGTGTATTTTCGTATAGTATTTATCGTTGTATTCGCGTTTTCATGGTCTTAGGTGATAAAATGGAAAACATATTTACAGAAATAGAGATGATTTTCATTACTTTGACGATGAAAACGACCTTGAAACTGAGCTCAAATTAGCGAAAATGTTCGATTTTTACCAATGTTCAGGAGTAAACAAATCACACCACACGTCCAATACACGTCAACTGGGGAGTCTAATATTCTTTCACCAGTGCACTGATATTATTTATACCATTTTTACAATAATGCAGTAGTCTGCATAACAGTAAATTTTGTATTTTTTTTTGTATGAATAAAAAATCAAAATAGAAAGCAATAATAATATAAGAGGGGCCTAGAGATGTGACTAATGAACAGAGGATATGCTATTTTAGTGCCAAGAATGTCTACCTTGTTTATTCTGGACCCTATTTTGAAATTGGCATCTTTTTTAATTTGCGTGAAATTGGCCAAATTGCCAATTTCTGACCACTATATTGGGTAGTTCAAATTGGTAAATGGGCGTTTTTTTGTACTCAGCTGATAGATAAAATGGAGTTCTAAAGAAATAGCTATGAGTTTGGTCAACTGGAACAACGAAATTGGCTGAAAACAGGGCTCAAAGTCGGTGAAATCACCGATACACATATGTCGCGGATTCCGCTAACTTCGCGGGAGCGTAATTCCGTGAGTTTTCGACCAAATTTCGAACTTTTGGTGTCATTACCATCGGGAAAAGATTCTCTATCATTTCATAAGAAAAAATAATTTTTTTTTTTCAAATATTTGGCGACATAGAATGACAGTTTCAGAAAGGGGCCTGAAACAGTCAAAGGGTTAAGTGAGCAATAGAGGTAGGCCTAAAAAATGCACATACAGTACACACATTACTTTCCTTAAAATAGTTTTGTCCTTAGATTATAGTGAGTAGTGAATATATTTATTGTAGGAAGTCTTGAATAAATGAAGAATGGTTAAAAATGAAAACTGCTGCATTAGTAAAATGCTGTAAAGCAGGGCCTGCCTGTACTGGATCTGAAATCAGTGAATAAAGAGAATGTTTGTTTCATAAATGGTCCAACTGAGAGAAATCCTGTGTTCATAGCTTTTGTAAAAGCCTTTCATACATAGACAGTGAAGTCTGGATCTTAGTGTATACTTAGTACGTATACAGTGGACCCTCAACCAACGATGGCATCATATAACGTTAAATCCGACTAGCGATACATTTTAAACGCAAAATTTTGCCTCGACTAGCGCTAAAAAACTTGACCAACACGATTCGTTCCGTTCGAGACGCGTCCACTGTGGCCTGAGTGTGCCTCACTTGTCCAATGGGTGCCAGTGTTTACAAGCCAGCCAGCCACCGCGGTCCAATCCAAACATAAAATCGGAACATTTCATATTATCACAGCGTTTTTAGTGATTGCACCTGTAAAATAAGTCACCATGGGCCCCAAGAAAGCTTCTAGTGCCAACCCTACAGCAAAAAGGGTGAGAATTACTATGGATATGACGAGAAAGAGATCATTGAAGTATGAAAGTGTGTCTCCGAGATGGCAGGTTTGTTACACAAAACCCCAATCACCCCATCGTACTATTGTGGCCAAGAAACTGGCATATCATGGAAGCTGTTCTTGCCCCAAAGGTGCAACTTTCTGTTTCGAAACTGAGATAGCAAGTACTCGAGTGTTGAGAGACTGTTATTGGTGTGGATAAATGAAAAAGTGTAGCAGGAGAATACAGATCTCTCAAGCGATCATATGTGAAAGGCTAGGAAGTTGCATGTGGATTTAAAATTAGAAATGCCTGCAACTAGTGCTGATTGTGAGTGAATTAGGCAGAAAAGGTTGTGGTTTGAGAGATTAAGAATCGGTAGTGGCATACATAGTGTGATATAAGGCATGGTGAGGTGCCAGTTCGGGACAAGAAGCAGCTGAAAAATATGTGAGGAATTCAAGGAGTACTAGACAGTGAAGAATTGAAACATGAACATGTGTTTAATTGTGACAAAACAGGCCTGTTTTGGAAGAAAAGAAAATGCCAACGCAGGACCTACATTACTCAGGAGGAAAAGGCATCTCCCAGGACATATGCCTATAAAGACAGGGTTACTCTGTTATGTGTACTAATGCTGAGTGGTGATTGCAAGTTGAAGACTTTATTGTGCACCATCTGAAACTCCAGAGTGTTAGGAAAAACAATGTCTCGAGGCTAATTTGTGTGTGCTGTGGAGGGCAAAACAGTAAGGCATGGGTTACTGGACTTTTTCTATGACTGGTTACACCATGCATTTGCCCCCACTGTGAAAAATTACCTCTGGAAAATATTTGGACCTTAAGTGCCTCTGGTATTAGACAATGCTCTGGTCATCCTTCAGACGTGGGACCACGAGCGACTTTCTGGGGACATGAGGCTTCATTTAAGGTCAAGTTTTTGTCTCCTAATTACCACTCCTCTCTTGAGCCATGGACCAGCAGGTCATTGCCAAACTTCAAAAACTCACACAAAAATATGTTTGAAAGGTGCTTTGTAAGCTAGTGACCACAGATACGCAGTTGACTTAGAGTGTTTTGGAGAGATCACTTGTAGCATCCTCAATTGTTATAAATTATAGGTAAGGCTTGGGACGGGAGTGATGACGGACCTTGACTCTGCTTGGAAGAAACTTGGTCCAGAATGTGTAGGATTTTTTGAAGGATTTGAGGCTAACCCGGAGAAAAGCCTTGCCAGTTGTGGAATCAATTGTGGGCTTTGGGGAAGTCCTTGGGTGCGAGGTTAGTGGGGGGATGTGGAAGAGTTGGTGGAGGAGGACAATGAGGACTAACCACTGATGTGCTGCAAGATTATCTTAACAGAAGAGGCCAGACCTGAGGAATACGCTCCGGAGGAGGGTAGAGAAATTGAAGAAGTTGCCTACTTCAAAGATTAAGGAAATGTGTGCAAATGTGGGTCTTTAAAGTGCAAACCTTTTTTGACACGCCTCAAGTTCCTAATGGTAGGGGATTCACTTCTAAACACTAACACCATCCATGCTCTCCCCTCCTCCCATCCCATCAGTCATCACCAGATCTTCAATAAAGGTAAGTGTCATGTAATTGTACATGTCTTCTTCAGTTTGTGTGTATTAAAATTAATATTTCATGTGGTAAATTTTTTTTTTTTTTCAATACTTTGGGGTGTCAGGAACGGATTAATTTTATTTCCATTATTTCTTATGGGGAGAATTAACTCGACTAACGATAATTTTGACTAACGATCACCTCTCAGGAATGGATTAACATCATTGGTCGAGGGTCCACCGTACTTAGTGCATACTCCGAGGAATCTCCGTGGTAAGAGAGTCAAATATTTGCATAAGCCTGTTAATACCTACAGATAATGTGGTATAGGTACTGTATTAGTTTGGCATGAATACTGAATATATTTTTCCCTGGGAATAGTTTTTTTTTTTTTTTTTTCAACAAGTCGGCCGTCTCCCACCGAGGCAGGGTGACCCAAAAAAGAAAGAAAATCACAAAAAGAAAATACTTTCTCATCATTCAAACTCTTTTCACCCCCCACCTCGCACATTATCAATGTTTTTGCAGGAGGTGCTCGAATAAACAGTCTAGAAGCATACTCATATAAAGATAAAACATTATCCCTCCACACGCCCAATATCCCAAACCCCTCCTTTAAGTGCAGGCAATGTACTTCCATTTCCAGGAACGCAAGTCCCACTCTAATGGAAAATAACCAGTTCCCTGAATCCCTTCACTAAATATTACCCTGTCTCACACTCCAAACAGATCGTCAGGTCCCATGTACCATTCGTCTCCATTCATCCTATCTTAAACACGTCACGCACGCGTGTGCTGGAAGTCCAAGCCCCTTACCCACAACAACCTCTGTAACCCCCTCTCTCCAACCCTTTCGGACGACCCTACCCCGCCTTCCTTTCCCTATAGATTTTATATGCTTTCCATGTCATTTACTTTGATCCCATTCTCTCTAAATGACCAAAACCACCTCAACAACCCTCTTCTGCCTCTGATAATACTTTTATTAACGCCACACCTTCTCCTAATTTCACTCTCCGAATTTTCTGCATAATATTTAACAACACATTGCCTTAATCAGGATCTCCACTGGCCTCCAACCGTCTCCTCGCTGCGCATTTTTCCACCCAAGCTTCACACCCATATAAGAGTGTTGGTACTTACTATACTTTCATACTTCCTTCTTTGCCCTACATAGTTACGTTTTTTGATCACATATACCTTCACAGCACCACTCACCTTTTTTCCCTCTTCAGTTCTATGATTAACTCATCCTATAAATCCATCCGCCGAATCGTCAACTCCCAA